GAAATGCAGTGCTGTTTCATGGAATGAGTGTTTAGGACAAGAAGAGCCTTGGCACGGTACTTAAGGCGGCGGATAAGGCAAACGGGTGTTTTCTGACAGCGTGGTCAGAGGACCCGCGTTTTTCTGGAGGCATACCCCAATGATACTGCAACCTTCACTGTAATCCATCCTTTTTATTTGCTGCTAATGCATATGCTCCTGTTTAGCTCCTGACGTCAAAATTATGCCCGATTGGTACTGGAAATGGTACCACACCAAAGTTGACCAGAAATGCAGATTTACTTGTCAAGAAATGTTGTGCTTTTCGAGTCTCATTAGCGTATCAAGTTATGCTTTTTGTCTTTACTTCACGACTGATCGGTTGGAGTTTAGCAATATTTCTTATGCCTGTTAATTTCATAAATACATCTAAATTTTTGAAACTATTTTCACCGTTTCATCACTATCTCAACCTAAGTTACAATGTACCTATTCTACACCAAGGAGGATGAGTTTTGCTTTAGGACGATTCCAGCGTTGACAGTTCCGTCATATCTGTTGCTATTCGGACTTTTGTTCGGCTGAGGGTGTTGCGTCGCTTGTCATTCTCACGTCAACTGTTTGAAGTTTTCCACTTGCTCAAGGAACTAACGTTATTTAATTGAGCAGCTTCTGTAAACTGTACTCAACTTCTGTAAACTGTACTGTACCCTTGTCTGTTTAGTTTTTGAGATAAATAAATCGATATAAAAGGATGAATAAACATAATTGAAGGAAAAGCTTGTAGTCACCAGGATATCGGTCTCCCGTACATTTCCATGATAGGCGATATCGGGGTATCCTTCGTTTCATGGTGTTTATGGTGCGGTGCAGATCTCCGTTTATTTTATCAGACGTGTATTATACATTAAAGCGAATGTTTACAGTTGTAGCAATTATAGCATGCTGATTCATGTTTACTTTCCCAAAAACTGGTACTCGTTTATCTACCTTAAAAATGAGTGACAACGAGGCTTGAACTCATGGTCTTTCGATACTCTTGGATCTCAAGGATGTACCGACTCGGCAACCCATGTTAAATAAGTCTACAAATAGATGATAGACAGGTATAGAAATAGTTAAGATTTTTCTGTAGTAGCCTAAGGGAACGGTTAAGTAGGCCATGGTTTCATGGCACTTTAACACGTGTAATGCATTGGCGCAGAACATTTGCACTTTGTTGAGTCGAACAAACACATGTTCGAACTGCAACGAATATAGCTGTCTGTAGGCACATATGCCAAAAAATAAGCCAAAGTATTCTGGGTATATAAATAAATAAGTGGACAAAGGAACAAAGACGAATGATGGATGGGCAGTCAGGGAGGTAAAGCGACAGATCAGTCGACCATATAAAAACTCATGAATATATGGATATTTAGACAGATAGGAAGATGTGTATCAGGACAGAAACGACAAATGAACATGCAGCATCCGGAGGTGAGGGTCTGCCATGACAGAACTACATCCCAGCATCTGCACTTATAAAGTTACTGTCACGTATTGTTCTTAGCTGCAAGAAATGGGTGGTATATGTAACTGCCGATGAGGAAAATACTCCACCTGCAGAATTAATGCTACTATTGTCACTGACATACCTACTATGAGAGGTTTATGTGAAATGGCAGCATTGTGGTAAGTTGGATTGATTAAAGATACAGTAAAAAGCGTGTCTGACACTGGCCAATGCGTTGTTAGGTAGTTGTGCTATTCGTTATTTATTCACATGCTCATTACGACTCTTTACCACATCAGTGGTGCAGTGTCATTTCAGTAGGTCGACAATTCTTCAAGCCGCTGAGGAAACAGTCCCTGATCGCAGCAGAGGATAGCTACATATTTAGACGCTAGAAAGATGTTGGACAGCAACAAGTGCTATCCTCCGGTTAAAGAAATTTAATCAGCATAAAAGTGTAGACAGCATTATTTCGTCACTGTGGCACTATTAGAAAACCGATTGATTAATGGTTTAAAATAGATATCTAATACATTAACTGACATTTCAAATAATAGTCGATACTCAGCCATCGGCAATATATTGTATGCGTAATTGTTGAAGCTACTGCTGCGACTTGTTGGATCGATGGGCAAGCCAAGTCAAGCACAATATTGAACTACAGTGGACTACATTCAATGAAGGTGATTTTTGTTCAAGCGGTAAGCTTCAGATATAACAAAAACCCAATCCATCATTAGAAGCAAAACGTTGTACAGATTCCTTTAAAACCATTGAGTCGCGGCTTGCTTAAATGGCTTCCGTGCGTACCCATTAGTTAATAACTCCAAGGAGACAATGAGTCATTAGCCTTTTTCGATCTAGGTCTCGATAAAGGTTTTTCCTACTAAACTGCATCTTCTATTATGCGTTCTTTCAACAAATTTCATGAACTCGTATTGCTATTGAACCGAAGTTCTATTTACGGATCGTTTACTTCTCTAAAAAAACCCCGTCTAATATCTGATCGAGCGACCGATCGTCCATATTGAAACGTATTCAGTCCAATCAGATGTGAAAAGAACACATGCGTGTTGAAAATATCATAAGTCGAATATATGATAAAAAACTTGTCATTTAGTAATTAAATAAACGGATAATTACTGTAACTAATTATCAGTAATCTAAAAGCTTTTATTAATTGCTGGAAGATGATACTATGGAGGACGCTATAGTGACAGTGTCATGAACAACACAGATCATTTACGCCACTTTGATTAGTCAGTGGATTCAGGTACCACTACCACTTTCAAATGCCTTTAATTCATTCATGTTACATGGCTGCCGGCCACCTCCCACATCCCTCATGTTGCAGATAAGGGAATAACTAACAGATATGGAGGTAGAGGTTACTTGCAACAAATAAGCTGTGATGCGTGGTCGGGTTTGTTCGTAGAAAAAATTCAGTCTCATGAAAATTTCTTCACCAAGCTAAGCGACCCGCACTTTTAAAGAAAAAAGGCCCCCAGTATCACCGATATCTTGCAATTAGATGTCGGTTCGTTAAAGGCTAGAATAGAAAACTTCAATAAAACCAGACGGATCTGAGACCGTAACGTTCTGCCAGCAGGGGAGGGGGGCAAAACTAGACATGACAATATTTTGCTCCCGACACGATACAGGTTTATTGCTGCAATATTCTTAACTTCCTGGGGTCCCCTGATCAATTTTCATCTTAACAAAATTCGTGCTATTTCGCGTAAATTATGGTAGCAGAAAATTAAATTGTACTGCCAGCCGCATCTAACCTCATTTTGCATTATTTCAACTGGTAGTTTTCGTCGTCCAAAAAATCGCAGACACCTTGGGGTGACAAATTTGTTAAATCTGTGAGAGTATTAATAACATAGGTCAAAGGGTCGAATAAATATTATAATAAAAATTGTCTTTCTTTCCTGTTGCGATCTTCAGAGATTTAGATGCATCACTTGTGCTCTTGCTGTAAGAAATTAAACGCTATGATTTGCCAGAACTTAGAAGTTTTAAGTTTCTCAAAGCAAAATTTGTATTCTGCATCCCTGCTAATGTTATAAGTACTGTAGGCTTATAAGCCTACAACGCTATGCCATCACAAAAGATTCATTCACCTAATAATACAACATACGATGGAGATAGGGATTTTTCAGATTCTTAACGAATAAATAGAACAATAATAATTAATTAATTAAGTTGAACGTAAACGGTAGCGCAGCAGCAACAACAATAAAGCGTGTAGTCATATGTTAATCATGACAACCAGGAAACGAATCGAATGTGCACGGCGAGCGAATGCAAACAGACAGGTGGACGCAGAACGTATCGTATATACACAGAACACCGCCGAACTGGCGGGCACAGGCGGTGACTACAACGCAGCAAACGACGCCGTCAGTCAGGGGGTCACTCTGTCTGTTCGTCTGTTAGGGAAACCTTGCTCACGACGAGCTAACCGATGACGACGACGTGATTTCGTGTTCGATGAACTGCCGCAAGCGGTCGAGGTACACGGGGTTCATCTCTACGTCGTTGTGGCCAGCACCATGCACCCATAGCGGCTCCACGGCCTTCGGACACTTCTCGTAGATCTGCAATCCGTGGTGAAAATCGATCACCTCATCGTCGGTACCATGTATGACTAGCGTAGGCGCTCGCACCTTTTTGATCTTTTCTATGCTAAAAAATCGCAACATGTTCATTCCATGCAGAGTGATTCTCTATAACCAATGGATCGAATCTTAGGAGTCTCTGTTACAAGCCGTCTCCTTAATAGGGGTAGCCATCAGAACTGGGTCACCAAACGTCTAAAGTGACATATGCTATTCAGTGCAGGACAGAGTACCTTAAACGAAGGAATACCAAATTAGATCATGCTACACGAAACTATTACATAACCCAATACGGATTCGTAATTAATTGTATCTCAACTAGTGTATATTCCTTACCACGCCGCTAATTTGAATTGTTAGCCAAATTACGGATAGTGTGCAATAATGTACTGCAGAATGACTGACCATAGCATGAATAGCAGATGGTTTGAACTTTGCTTTGTCGCGGAATTGTAGCCTAAATATAACATTATCGTCAGATGAGGTCAGATTGCAGTACTGCCTGTAGTAGTCTACTTCCTATATCACAGAATGCTATACAGTATGTTTACTACCTTAGTCTCGTACAGATGATGCTATAACGAATATTTCAAATCTTGTTTGGCTCGAGAAATCGCCTGCTGGTGTTACGCATTCGCATCGTCTTTTGGCTCTTTGAAACGTCAGACATAGATTCACATCCTTTATCCTCACATCTTGTGGGGTAGTTCTGGCCAGGGGATATTCCAGATGATATACAACCCAAAGCTCCACCTGTAACTGATATAGGGGCAAGATGGCGGTACAATACGGCACGAAATCGGGTTTGGAGGAATTCAGCACGGCATTATAAGTCATCATGTAATGTCACTGTATATATGGCACTATACATCGCAGTCGATCACCAGCATCAGACTATAGAGCGAACCGGCAATTAAAGGATGCATACCTTGGAAAAGCGTCAAAGCACCAGGTGCGCCGAGTCTCGGGAAACGCGACACGGAGGCCTGACATCAGCGCTGAGTGCAGAACAACGGCGGCGACCGGCACCTTGGACGCCAGGTCGACAGTCGGTGCGGTACCGATGCTCTGACCATAGAGAATGATCGCGTCGTTGTCAAGGTGGTAGTGGTTGTGTAGCGCATTCAGCGCCGCCATGATATCCGCGTATAGATTCTTCTCCGACGGCTTGCCGCTGCTGCAGCCGTAGCCAGAGTAATCATAGCTGAACACATTGCATCCTATGCGCACACCCAACCCGTAGTAGAAGGATATCATGTGGCCGAGGTCGACCGCATTGCCGTGGCTGAACAGAATCGTGTACCTGGCCCCTGGACAGCACCGGATGTATGCGCATGCAATTTTGTTGCCTCTTGATGACCGCGTATACGAGAACTCCACCTGCTCCAGCTCGCACTTGCCGTATGGCCAATCCAGTCGGTCGGACAACAGAAATTTGTACCTGTAATGGCAAAAGTATATAATAAACACCAACACAAAAACAGTCATATACCACTAAAAATATGTATAGGTCAAATTCCGATATAACGAAACACTTGAAACTATATAAATTAATTCGTTAAACTGAAATTTTGCTATATTTAATAAAAAAGGAAAATTGCAAACGCATTTTATTTAAAAATAGTCATACAATTGCAAATAATGATTACAAAACATTTTTCAATAAAAGAGTCCGTTATTTTTAACTGTCATTTTTAATAGTGTTCAGTCTTTAACCAGGCACGAAACAGTATACTTGAAACTGCTGAGAATCTTTGTGAGCTATAACAATACTATGGTACAGAATACACAGTTAGAGCTTAAGAATAGTTTCACCAGTAGCACTGTAACAACATACTACGAGTACTCTCAAGTTACCGTACTATTCATAACACTTCTCGAGTCGCAAATCTGTCTTCTATACTATAGCACGCAGCTATATTTCAAGAAGAGTTTCTGTAATAGTACTATAACTATATACATTGTGTATAATACCTAGTTAAAAAAATGTTCTTCAAACTTCTGTC